ATAGAAAGGTTCTATTGGTTGATATATAATGTCAGTAGACTCCTCATGTTAGAACCTTTTCAAAACCTTAAATCTTTAGTTCAAAGTCCTCACTTATGGCTTGACAATAGCTTTCAGGCCCATCAACACAAGAATAAATACGTATCTTCTCTTTCAACCTACAAAATCATATTCTCTTTATACTGTTAGCATACTTTTTCAAAGGAAAAGAACTTTGTTTCAAAAAAAAATCTTTTTGCTTTAATTCCACTGTGACAGTAAGAACAAAAAGACTTCCAACTTCATGGCATATCTTAATTCTCTGAGAATGAAGAAGAATAGAGGAACTGAAGAGAAAATGGGCAGTATAAGAAATCCCTGTTGGATGAAGTTAGGAAGCTTTTAAACAGTGCATGTCCTGGCTTCGTTTCACAGCCACTGCAGAAGTTTTAGAGCCATGACCTGGCCATTTAGGAGGACTTAGAGCCCCATTTTAGATGCCATTACAACAGTTGAGTTCTTGGTCATTGTCGATCCAATGTTTATCACGACCGTGTTAATTCAGTCAGGGTTTCCTAATAGTTAATATTATTATCCATTGTGAGGGAGATTATTAATGCGTGCCCAAATGATCAATTAGGAATCGCTGATATATAATGCATGCCCAAAACCTAATAAAACACATAAACCTAATAACAATTTAATGTTAGTGTTACTCATGTATCTCATGTATGTGTGTGTGTGTGTGTGTGTGTGTGTGTCTAAATTTACTCCTTGATATCAGTATATTCTACAGGGCAAGATTCTTCTCTCACATTGGCAGTATATCAGCATGCCCAGGCTGCTTTGTTGCAACCTTTGGCAGGCACACAGTGAAAGAACAACACTGGGATCAGCCAGCATCCAGTGACCACTATGGTCTCCAGAATCTCTTCTGCAATTACCGCATTCAGGCAGTTGTCTCTTTGTTATATCCATAGGTTCTCCTACGTATGACTTCAAAAGAACAGCTTTCTTGAAAAAAACAAAACAAAACCTACAAAATGGAGTGAGGACTCATGTGTTCAATCATGCAATTCTTTTAATATATATAGAAATGCAAGCAACACACCCATGTGGTTTTCTTTCTGTGCCTAATCCTTCCTCACTACGCAGTTTTTAAAACATTTAGCTAGATGTAGCTCCGAGTCCTTTTTAAGGAGTGGGATTGGAGGGAGGGATGAATAAAGAGAAAAGAAAGAAACGCAGGATCTCAAACATCTGATTCTGTCTACTTGGTAAGGCAAGGTTATCCCAGGGACTCTTGAGCTTGGGAAGAATCACCACAGCCTCACCTCCTTTTGTACACGCCTCACCTCCATACTTCTTCCCCACACTTCCAAACTATCTCAAGAAAGACACACTCCCAATGACATATCCAGTCAGGGTATCTTTCTACTAGCTCAGGTCTTGAATGAGACCTGAGCAGCCCTTGAAGTGAAAGAACTCCTTCCCAGGAAGCCAGTCCCTCGTGTGCTGCTTCCTCTCCTGGAAATGCTTCATGTAAATGACATCTTCTCAGCCCTGGGGTTTGTTCCTGCAGCTGGGAGCCTTCCCTTAACCCTAGACTAGGCAAGGGACTTGTTTGTTGGCTTAAACACCCTGTCCTTCTTATGTGTAATTGTCACATTTGTCATACTTGTTTAATATCTTCTTCCATACTATTTGATAAACCCCGAGAGGTTGGTCCCATACCTGTCTCATTCATTTCCATCTTTCCAATTCCTAAAACAGTGATGGGCATTTAATGCATGTACTCTCAAGAAACATTTGGTGAGGGAAGCCTAAGAAAGTTAAGACAGATGAAGTGCTTGGTCTGATTCCTGGCACACGGAGGTGCTCACTACATGTCAGCTACAAGTGTCTGAATCATCGCACCGATCCGCACAGTCGTGAAGCCGAAGCCTGTTGAGTGTCATTGGTAGACCTTTCGAAAAAATGTCAACTGCCCCCAATCCTCAGAACGTTTCTGCCCTCCCAGTTTGATTCTGATAACTGAGCTTGTCAGTAAGACTCACTAACCCCTGACATTCTAAAAAGACAAAACAGCTTTTAGATTGGAGATAAGACCAGACAGGGAGTCGCTACTGCTGACTGTGCAACGTGCTATGTGCCTTCTTCCTCCCAACCTTCTCGTGGTACCCCGAAGCCTTGCTCTTGAATATCTCATGACTCCAGCTTTTAGACTAAATGATAGCATTCTAATTTTAGTTGTTTTTCAGCAGATATGCTTTGTCCTGCAGCGTGTCTAACTGCTGCTGTAATGAGCCAACGGGCTGCTGAGTTCTATGGTTATATTTAGGTTGGTTCCCTGAGTGAAGGCTGAGCCATCTCTTTTCATTACATTTGTGTTTACTTTCAAACTAAACAAGAATGGAGTCTGGATTGGACCAGAAGTTGTGGGGGGGATCTGAAGTGTTTTCATGCCACAAACCCTAGTTTGCTGGTAGGTGGGGATGAACCTGACCACATTTTTTTTAAACTTCCTAGTGATTCCAGAGGAAATAGCTGTGAAACCACTAAATGATACCTCATATTCTAGGACTTTTAACAGAGGATTCGGTTTAGTTCAAACTAGCCAGGCATAAAGGAAGCACTTAGGATAAGTTTGAACTAAACCAAATTCTCAGTTAAAAGTCCTGGAAAATAAGGTATCATTTAGTGGTTTTGAAGCCATTTCCTCTGGAATCACTAGAAAATTTTTTAAAAATAAAGTGAGGTTTCATTCATCTCTTTCAGCAACAAACTAGGGGTTTTGTTATAAAAACCCTTCAGAGCATCTCACAACTTTTGTAGCAAATGGAAGTGGGGAGGGGGCTCTGAGTTCTTTGAGCAGGTGGTGAGATGATCAGACATGCTTGAGGGGGGTTAACCCAGCAGTACCTGGAAGACAGGTTGGGGAAGTGGAGAAAGACAGAAAGAAAAGAGATCCGCTCCAGAGCAGTCCAGTGCTCCAGTGAAGGGGTCCCAAGGACCAGAACCAGAGGAGAGGGGGTAAGGATGAAGACAGGGACTGGAGAGAGGAGGTGAGGATAGAGACCGAGATCAAAGGAGAGGAGGTGAGGATGGAGAGTGAGACCAGAGGAGATAAGGTGAGTATAGAGACCAGGACCAGAGGAGAGGAGGTGAGGATGGATACCAGGACCGGAGGAGAGAAGGTGAGGATGGAGAGTGAGACCAGAGGAGAGGAGGTGAGGATGGATACCAGGACCAGAGGAGAGGAGGTGAGGATAGATACCAGGACCAGGGGAGAGGAGGTGAGGATAGATACCAGGACCAGGGGAGAGGAGGTGAGGATAGATACCAGGACCAGGGGAGAGGAGGTGAGGATAGAGACCAGGACCAGGGGAGAGGAGGTGAGGATAGATACCAGGACCAGGGGAGAGGAGGTGAGGATGGATACCAGGACCAGAGGAGAGGTGGTGAGGATAGATACCAGGACCAGGGGAGAGGAGGTGAGGATAGATACCAGGACCAGGGGAGAGGAGGTGAGGATAGATACCAGGACCAGGGGAGAGGAGGTGAGGATAGAGACCAGGACCAGGGGAGAGGAGGTGAGGATGGATACCAGGACCAGGGGAGAGGAGGTGAGGATGGAGACCAGGACCAGGGGAGAGGAGGGGAGGATGGAGAGGGAGACACCAATTCAAGAGATACTGCAAAAGGAAAACCAGATGATTTCGTAACATGAGTAATGCGAAGGAGGAGAAACAGAGTTTGACCTGGAATGCCTAGAAACAAGATTTATCTTTACTAAATATTAGGAACAAAGGGAAGAAAAGGAAGTTTGAGGGTAATCTGAGTCTTTGGAACAAACTGAATTTGAGGTTCCGGCAAGATCCATGCTGATGGAAACGCGAGCTGGAGTTCAAGAACAATGTCAGGACTGCCACCGAGATGTATGGACCAACGCAGCATTTCTTTTTATAGCCTGGGTCCTTTGGTCCCTCCACAGTGGCATATGCTTTAAGGTCATAGTCAATCCTTTTCACGAGAAGGTAGGACATGTTGCAAATAAGAGCCTCTGGCTTCTTCTTGAAGTCATCTGAGGCATCACATTCGATTAACGGCACTTTTGACCTTCCATAACAGATGTTTTATCTGGCTCTTCTACTTAAACCATGGTACTTTCAGTCATCTTAGAAAACACATAACAGGCTCCCATGATTGAAGAAACTGGGGCCAAGAAAGTGCCAGTGAGTTGGCCGGGCTCACACAGCCAGTTATCAGCATCCTGATTCCTGACTCCCTGCACTTCCCACTGGGGCAAATGGTGCTTTTCAGCCCCTACCTGGTGGCGTCTCTTGCTCTGTCTCTGCAGTCCAGCTTGTTACTTTGCACTCAGAACTGTTCTTTAAAACTCTCATATTCCTGTGGTCTCTTATCGCTTATGTGTTGATTCCTTCTAACTGAACTTTAAAAAATGTTGCTTTTCTTTCCTACCCTTTTCAGGGGTTAAGTATAATCACTTTATGTTTACTTATACCAAGAATATTCTCGGTGTTTGAAACCAGCCTGTAGTTTCGAACACCATGCCCAACCCTCCTTCTTAAATAAATGTTTGTTCCATGTTAATGATTTTAAGAATGGAATAAATTGTCGCATGAGAGATTGTTGCATAAAAATGTGTCTGCTGTCAACCTTCATGGGTTCCTTTAACTCCAGCGACACTAAGTGATCTTTTATCTTTCACACTGTTTATCCAACTCAGAGTCCCGGCCTCTTCATCGGGGAAGATGAGCTGCATTCTTAGGGCTGGTGAGAAATCAGTCCGTTAGGAGAATAAACAGCCATCACACCAGATTCAGTAGCAAACATTAGGGTTGCAATGTGTCATTCAAAGCTGTCCTAATACAGGCCCACTGGTCCCCCGTAGAGCACAGTTTAATTAAAAGCAACCACAAGACACCTTTGCCTTAAACTTGTAGATTTGATGCTTTCTATTAAACTATTTTCTGCCTGTTCCTTCTTTTACCCTATAGATGCCTTGAACCTTCGAAACCGACAGGTCATCTGTGTCACTCTCAAGGTCCTCCAGCATCTAGTTGTGTCAGCTGAGATGGTGGGCGAGGCCTTGGTGCCCTATTACCGTCAAATCCTCCCCGTCCTGAACATCTTTAAGAATATGAATGGTGAGTGAGCCCACAAGTCTAAATGTCATTTAAGCCCTTAAAAAAAAGGCGGGGGGGGGAGTGGTTTCAAGTAGAGTTAATTAGCAACACGTTTAGGATTTATTATTGCGTGTAAACCACGATCCATTTGGAGACCTAAATAGCATATTCCCACCCCTTCTCCAGCTACTCTCGAGGGAAACAGTTCATTACTCCTTCCGTATAGCTTACTTAGCACAGAAGCGCCGAAGCAGTTCTATAAGCTTCCAATCATTAAATTGTGAAGTTTCTTTAATGGTCTTTCGAATACATTAGTAGGTTTTGAGTTTGTTCTTTTTCTTCATAGTGATTCTACCTTTAGATACTTCCTGCTACAATTTCAGTCCGTTTTTTTTCCATTGGTGTAAGATGTATTTTTAAGCACTATTGTTAAAACCTGGTAAGTGGTTTTGATGATTCATTTATTTTTCATAGTATTGTTCTGTAAGCTTTGGAAAACACAGATGAATTCAGATAGCTCTATTTTACCCTTACAAGGAAAACAGCAAGCTTTTGCTGACCCTAGGCAGGTAGTGGATGTACCTCTGTTCATTAAGAGTGTGATTTCCTCGAAATGATGAGTCTAGTTTTCTTTTTGCTGTTACCTTTGAAGTCCCATGCTTCTCATATGCATAGTAGAAGTTAACATTTCAAGTTCTTTCCTGACAGTGGGATCAATAAGTTATCGATTTAATGGAGCACTGCGTGAAACTTTTGTAACATGATCTGCTCATCACATATTCAAGAAAAAAAATCAAACAAAAATCAAACATCATATATTCAAGAAAAAAAAGCAAAAAGCTGAGTTTATGGCAGCTCCTGCCACAAACAGACTTTTGTTTGGAATCACAATTTTTTATATTATTATTCGATGGCTGTTATGCATGCTCCAGGCGCAGATATTCAGGAAATCATGGAATTCTCAAAAAGCCTTTAGTTGTCTTTCAATAGTAAAACCCACTTCTGTGTATAATATTATATGTATTTAGAAAAAGGACTTCAAACTGGAGTTATAGGAGTTTATGAATGCTTGTAATGGAGTGCTTGCAAAGGTATCCTATTGAAATTACCTGAATTGCTGTGGGTAATGTGGTGGACGTTCAAATCCATTTATGCAAGATGGTTAGTCTTTAAGCAGAGTAATAACTTTTGGAAAGTACTTATTTAAATGTTTTTCATTCATAGTTCATATTTTTACCATAGAGTAGCAGCAAATATCCATAAAGCTATAGAAAAGTCCAGATGTGGTCCATAAAAGCAACTCTAACTGCACACCTAATATTTAGGTTCTAGGAAATTGGAGGTAGAGATGAAGATGTTCTGATAGAGATGGTAGCATTATTAAGGAGATGGAAGCATCAGGGAACAGCCACCCACAAGTCTTAGTTAACATTTTTGAAATGTGCCATTCGCCAAGACTTCCCCAGTAATCCTCGTGCAAACCTATGATGCATGTACTATTACTATTTCCGTTTAACTCTTATAAGAGTGGCCCTCTCTTGGCTCTTATCCCACGGGAACCTTTGTTTCTGTACTTGACGGTCATGGAAGATGAGCCTGAGCACATTTCCCCTTCCTTGCCCGAGTACCTGGGAACAGGTGGCTACTGCAGCACTGCTGTAACGCTTTCGTTGGTCTCACAGTAAAAGCTAGAAATTACATCTAAACATCATTCTGTATCTCTGTATAAAAGCAGAAAATCAGTGCTGTTCCAAGGACAATTAGAATCTTTCTTTATCCTCAAGGAAATCTATAACGACGGATAAATACTGCTGCCACAAAGACAGACAAACCTCGCTGGGAGCTCTAGACACTAAACAAAACAACTGGTCTCGGCTGCTTCCTCATTGTAGGTTTTCTCTAAATCTTTAACCCACAGGTGTTCATATGCTTAGCTAAGAAAGTGGTTGACTTTACGAATGAATCCCTATTAAGATTTTATCAGTGCGGGGACTTTAAAGTTCATACTATAGTCCTTAATTGGTTCCAAACTCACTAATTCTTTTGGAGTCTTTCTAAATGCATGCATCAGGAATTCTACATTTAAATCATTTTTCTGCCTAACATTTTTCTGACATTTAAAGGGAAAAATATTAGCTTCATTTTCTACTTATCTTAGAAACCTGTCGCAACAATGCCAGCCTGACGTTTGCTGTGTTTTCAGAGGGTCCTATTACAGAGTTGGAGCATTCTAGCTATAGAAACTTAAAACTGATCCTCAAAGTAGCCATGTTACCCTAGATCCAATTCTTTCAGAAAAAGCTTATCACAAGATTTTCAATTATGTTAGAATTTTCATTAGAAAAATGATTTAGCTTTAATAACATTTTAATAAATCCTGCTTTATGATATAGATCACAAAATTATATGTAAGCAGATATCCTTAGTAACGATATAATATTTACAATTAAAATTATATTAGAAGTTGTTCATATGTAATGTTAAAAAAAAACTCATTCTGAATTTCAATATATTTGAGAACAATTTCACATTTCTGTATTTCCTCTGTTTTCTATTTGTCTTTTATGTAAATCAATGTCTCGTAAAACTCAGATTCAAAATATTTATTTCATGTTCCACTACGAAATCCTTTTTAGAATGATACCAGATACAAGTGACAAAAAAAAGAATGAAAGAAAATATTCTTTCAAATAAAATGAGCCTGTCTGTCTGTCAGTATCCCGTGAAGTGCAAACATTTGATCAAGTCTACTGCCTGAGGTTTTTCTTTTACAATCTCTCCTGTTTTAATGTCACATGAACTTCCTCTGAAATAAGCAGTGGGGGCTGCATAGCCAGGGCCCTGGACATTGTGGCAATTGCCCACGTGAGGAGCCTATGCTTCCAGTCTTTTCGGGGACTAGTTGGAAGTCAAGTAGGGCAGGGAGGAACAGTCTGTGCTCACAGCACCAATTCAGGCCCCATCTACACCACCATCACAACGAAAACTTAGAACCAGCCCCCCTAGATCCTTCTTGTTCTAGAAGAGAGAGCAGCTGTATACTCTTGTGTATTAGTAATGCTTTTCACAGAGTTTAATTCAGCTATAGTTAAAACAAGAACAGGTAAATCCGAGATGCGAATGGTAGTGTAGAATAAACAGGAACGTTTTGGGGCCAGAAGAGATGTGACCTCGGCTAATCCCTTAAAGCCTCTAATCGTAAATTCTTCTATCTATACAAAATATGTATAATAACAACTTTCACTAGGATGGGCATCATTAGAGACCGTGTCTTCTGGGCACCTTCACACGGAGCCTGTCCATGACTGGGTATTAATGAGATGCCCATTATAATTATACAAAGTTATATACCTACACAATATCATACACACAGAGTAGTATATATTATAGAAGAATATCGTACTATATGAATTGTTATGTAACAACATAGCCAGGCAACTGAAAGTGTTGTGTGTGACCTGTCACACTCGCTTGTTGGGTGACCTGTCACTTGGCCCTCCGTGAGCCTGTGGAGGCCACGTGGCCTATTGGTCTCACCGGCTGCGTCAGTGCCTTTGCTTCAAATGGTTCATTTTGTCTCTAATTGCCAAATGCAGGGTGAGTGGCCAAATCAGTTAAAAGACTCAGATTCGTTCACTGGTAACGAATTTCAAATCCGTCCCTTCCTGGCATAACCTTGCAGCTTGAATATGTGACCCATGTTTAGGGAGCATCGTATTTAAAAAAGAGAGAGCTCTCTCCGGCACAGACAAGGAAATCCTGGACCAAAGCCCTCTTCGGAACAACCAAATTGGTATCTAAGCTTTTGAGCTTGTCTCCTTGCATTCTAAACAGTGAATTTTGGATGTAAAACATGCTGTGTTTCCAGTGACTGCTTTGAGGGGAAAGAGAAAGAGGAGTTTCTATAAAATACTCCTTGAATGCATTTGTCATACAGCCAATAGCAATTTATTCTTTCCTCTGTTCTTTCACAAATGTTATTAAAGGTTACAGAAAATTAAAACAATAGGAATCTTCAATTTATAGCTTTCAGAGATGAAACTACAAAATTAATGATGCAGAATATTACATTTGAGAAGCATGAGCCAATAAATGGCATTAAAGCATTTACAGCTGGAATATGGGCACTGCCAGCAGATTGGAGCTCCCTTGTAGGCCTGTTTACTGTATTTTGGTTCATTTCTAACAGTACTGATAGTTCTGAAATGTTCCCTACCTAAGACTTTAGACTCCAGATCTGATACTCTGATACTGTCATAAATTTACATCATGAAATATGCAAAAGTAAACATAATAATGAAATATCAAGTCCCCACATTTGTAGAACTCAAATAGCTTGGCTTTATCTAAGATAAATCTAAGACGTATACCATCATAGACTAATTAAAAGTCTATTAAATAGACTTAACATTTTAATTCAGATTCAGTCACATTAAAACATAGGGAATGAGGATGCCTGAAGTTTGCAAAATGTTAGGATGCTTGTACCAGGTCTTTGACCTGTAACTTAAATGGCTTCTAAAAAATAGAAATAATTATTTTCTGCTGATCGTCTTTTAAAACAACTTCTAATGAGAACCTAAGCCTTGTAAGTCAACCCGATGCAAACCCTCCTTGATAACCCTCCTTGATATTCGTGTGAATTCCATGGAACCAATTCTCGTGCTCTTTTCAAGTGTTAATGAACTTCTGGGAACGGATTGTTTACCAAACAACTACAGCAACAGAACTGCAGTTTCTCTGTCTCAGAGTTGATATATATAAATGCTATTTCTCCTCACAGAGGTTTAAATTTAATTTTGAAATTAAGGTTCATTCCCCATGGAATTCGAACAATTTTGAGTTCACGATTTACATCTTAGAAATGTGCTTCGAGTTCCTTTGAAATTGTTAAATGTATTAAATTTGAACCATGAGATTATCCTAAACTCATTGAGGAAGTTATTAGAACTACTACCACCCACATTTCTGAAAGTTAGGTTTGGAATTGTCATGCATCTGTCTAGTCTCTCTGAGCACTC